TTTTGTGATGTGGTATCAGGTTCTGTGTTTGCGATGTTTTTCTTCCTCAACTTGCTGACTTGGGCGAAAGGCTCGTCAGGAGCAGTACCATTCACGACAATGTTCGCGGTAAGGTTTGGTGGTCATTTACGTGAAAGCAGTTGATCGGTTTTAGGTTTTGGTTTTATGGTTTGGGATTTCTGTACCCTTGGTGTACCTGGGCGCAGCTGCAGCGTATAAGAGAGAATCTATTGGTTTCCCCTGCCGAGTCAACTCGATTCCTCGACCTATCCCTCCGCAGCCTTGGTTCCTGAGGCCCTGGTTGCTATGTCTGGTTGGTGGCATCCTGCCCTTCGGCGCGGTCTTCACGGAGTTGTTCTTCATCATGAGCTCGTTATGGCAGCATCAGTTCTACTACCTCTTCGGATTCGTCGTTCTTGTTTACCTCGTCCTCGTCATTACGTGTGCGGAGGTGTCAATAGCCCTGACCTACTTCCAGCTCACGGCTGAGGACTACCGTTGGTGGTGGCGAAGCTTCTTCGTATCAGGAACGAGTGCACTGTATGTGTTCGGGTGAGTGGTAGTCCATTGTGATTTATAAATGTTATATACCGCTCTCTCAGCTATTCCTTGATGTACCTTGGAACCCGATTGCAAATCGTGAATGTGGTCTCGATAGTAGTTTATGTGGGTTATATGGCAATGATCTCGGCGGCTTTCTTCCTCTTGACTGGGTGTAAGTTCTGGTGATTGGGAGTAGTCGTACTGGCGTGGGATTTGCAGGATTTATGGTAGGTATTGGATTTATCGCGACGTTTTTCTTCGTCCGTGCCATATACGGCTCGATCAAGGTGGATTAGGGACACACATCGAGGATAGATTTTTGAGGAGTTCGAATGAACTACCCGGGCAAGTGGACAACATTGCATAGCAGATGTAGGAGTGAGATGAAATATATAACTTTTTGTTTTCGTCGACTTTGGTTTGCATCAATGGGCCTCTGGGCTGGTACTTTTGTTGTAGTGCTATGTAGGCTTCTCCCCATCATGTTCATTCCGGTAGTCGGTGATGGGTGCTAATGATGTGAATCCGTTCGGTAAGTCCAACAGGAGCTACTCCAAGTCGCCTTTCTACTCGTCTGGCAAGTCTCGATCGTACCATGCGAAGAAGAGGTCGAAGGCGTCGTGGGTGGAGCTCTTGAACGGCTGGTGCGGCATCACTGCAGTACCGTGGGATGAGGTCACATCTGGAGTATGACCGAGTGATGGTAGATACGTAATAGGATCCAGGCGGCTCGAGACGACCGCAAGCTCGACCGCTCTCGGCCGAGGTATCCGAAGATTCGTCGCATAGTACGTGGGAGTTCTTTGCTACTATTCTTGAGAATGCACTCGTAGGTTCGTGCACCAAAGTTCGATACGATTTCTGGAGCAGTGAACTTGCTCAATTCACTGGTCATTGGAGCTTCCACGTACGTACGTGGAGGGTTTCGCGGTGTCGCCCTGCTGGTAGTTGGGAATCCAGATATGGCACATAAGATAGGACTGTAACTACTATGATATGGACATATCGTGATTAGGTATTATCCAGACTTTCCAACTACGTTGGAGCCAATATGGATTGATGCCACGCAAAGGTTCATCATTCTCGTCCTCGTGAGTGAAGAGCTCGGGAGGACTCCGTATGCGGTCTGGTAGGTTGTCGAGTTCTTCCTCAGAGTTGCTGCGGAAGGGTTAGTGTGGTTCCTATCTATCTCCAACTGCATCGATGCGTTTCTCATATGGATTCCCGGGGTAGGCCTGCTGGGTGGCGGTCTTCTTGCATGGCTGTCAGTTCCTCACGGTATGGGTGCTTCGACCCTTTTTTAATATCCCGGCTAGTATGTTTGGTAGTATGATGATATTGCGGTTACTAAGAGTACGAGAGCTGGTCCGAGGCGTGCGGACTGTCAGTGGTTTCCGCGAGCTTTGGATTATGGTACAAGGCTTTACGGATTCTGGCAAGCTGCTCGTGTGGACCTATGCTATCGTTGGCTTGGTCCATCTACTATTCGGGTTACTTTTACTGCACATTGTTGCAAGTAGTGGGGACTTTGAAGGAGACGAATATGTGGGGTTTCCGACGGTATTCGACCGTACATGTAGTATCGTCAGGTTCACAGCTTATTCGGCTCCCTGGGGAATTCTATGTTTACATTATTTCAAGTGATGACCCTAGACAGTTGGGCTGGGAGCGTGGTATGCCGTTTACACGTCCGTGCCTGAGACAAGCCGTTTGTGTAGGTGCGGCCTATCATGCATACGTCCCTTGTGGGGGTTGGGGTCATTCTGCTTTTTATCGGCGTCTCGTCATTCGTCCTTTTTAATTTGGTTACCGCTATAGTGGTAGAGCAGGCGTTCTCGGCGGTGTCGGCTGACAAGGAGCTTCTGGTTAGTATGAAGCGGTCAAGTGAACAGGAGGCTGTGGAGGCTCTGAAGATGTTATTTGAAGAACTCGACGAGGATGGGAGCGGCGAGTTGTCCTCACAGGAGTTCACGGACGTGTTGGACGACCCTAAGTTCATTCGAAGGCTGGCTATGCTCGATCTTGACGTATCGGAACTACCGGAGCTGTTTACGCTGTTCGACACGGGGGACGGTATGGTCAGCACGGAGGAGTTCTGCGAGGGCATGCTTCTGGCAAGAGGGGGTGTTGTTTCGTGTCCACTACCCGGTAAGCGGCTTTGTAGGTACAAGGGGAAATACGGAGTAAGGATATGTATAACTGTGTGGTCTACGCTAAGACGCTGAGTGAGGTGGTGGAGGTATGCGGGACTGAGTGAGTTGGAATTCTGAGCGATTTCTGGTGATTGTTCATAGTCTAGGCAACTTGAAGACCGGGTGTATTTGCCTATGCTGGAGTGTACTGACGTTCATATTCCGGAGCTCATGGTCCAGATGGATGACGCTTTCACTGACCTGACAGTTATGACCCAGTGTGTCAAGGTGGGGGGCGTGCGCGAAAAAAGGGCGGCTATCGTCTCCAGTGTGGGGAAGTATATACACATGGTCAACTAGGTCTGTTGGTGATAATACGGAAACTCTAAGGAAATTGCGTTATTTTTTATTTCTGTACGCTCTAGCCGAATTTATATGAGAAGGGAAAATTCAGCAGAACTTCCCAAAAATTTCGTCAGAATCTTGATATTGTCACCAAAACATGTGCATATTCTCCCACACTGATTATGGTCTTGCAGACGATTACAATTACGGAAAGCCTAGGAAGAGTGCAGAACGCAGGGGTATTCCCGCAGCCTCCGACAGCCCCCCCTCTTGAGACGTCACCTTTGTTTGACGATGAAAGCGACTCGGAGGAAGATAGCTCTGGTGAAGGGTCCACCTCGACACAGCTCACTGAGCTGGTGGACAAGGGAATACAAGTATCGAGGAAGCTAAGTCCTCGACAATAAACGGCCGATTATGTAGGGGCGAAGAATTCCGAGGACTAACCAAATGCGGTTGTGCCTTACGGGTCAGGTTGTTTACTTTCAACAGGAAATCAAAGTCATGTGAAATGCCTAGAGATGGAGATGTGAGTTTTTTTCCTATCGAAGTGTACATGGTCGCATTGGAAATGCCCTGGAAAATTTTCGTCGTGGTCATCTGTGCTAGTGGGTTGAGTTTGGGCGGATTTTGGATCTTCCAATTAGTGTGTAATATCTAGTTGGCGTTTTCCCATCATATGAACTATCAGAATCTAGCCGGAGGAACGACGGTGGCTTCACAGCAGAGCACCGCGCCGTCCTACTCGTACGCGGCTCCATCATATCCTCAACCGAGCCCTCAGCAGAATGTCCCACTTGCTGCCGCTAGGGATGCACCCGCTGATTTTGGTGACAGAGCCGGGGAAAATTTCTCCAACCCGCTAGCCCAGTTCGCGGCTCAAGCTCCACAGCTTTTCAACGGTGCTCCTCCTCCTCAAGGTCAGCAACAGGGGAACTACATGTATGGTGGAGATGGAGGGAACATGCAACAACAGGCTTATTACAATAACGCGATGTAAGTAACTTCAAGTTAGTAGTAAGGGATATGCTAATTTTGTTCTAGGGACTACTCTGGGAACCGATACAGTTATGGTGGGTATAACGGAGGTGGTTACCCGGCCTATGGCGGCTATGATGCATTTGGGTATGGCTATTATGAAGATCAGTTGGGCGCTAATCTCAAGGCGGTACAGTGGGAAAAATACACTTTGACCGAGTTCCAGAAGCACTTCTATGTAGAGCATCCACGGGTTGCGGCTATGACTCCTGAAGAGGTCGAGCTTGTAAGAAGGAGACTGGACATCGAAATCATACACGGGGTTGATGTTCCAAATCCCATCACGCAGTTCGAAGAGGCATGCCTACCAGACTATATAATGGTGGAGATTCAGAAGGCTGGTTTTGTGAGCCCTACTCCTATTCAAGTGCAGGGCTGGCCAGTCGCACTATCTGGTCGGGATATGGTTGGTATTGCTGAAACTGGGAGTGGCAAAACACTAGCCTTTCTATTGCCAGCTGTGGTGCATATAAATGCACAGCCGTACTTGCAAAAAGGGGACGGCCCGATTGTGTTGGTCTTGGCACCAACGAGAGAGCTCGCGTTGCAGATTAAGGAAGAGTGTGACCGCTTCGGTAGAAGTTCACGAATTTCCAATACATGCTGTTACGGTGGTGTGCCTAGAGGGCCCCAGGCTAGAATGCTCCAGAACGGGGTTGAGATATGCATTGCCACTCCAGGGCGGTTGATCGATTTCTTGGAGTCGGAAGTTACGAATTTGAGAAGAGTTACTTACCTAGTGCTTGACGAAGCTGATCGTATGCTGGATATGGGCTTCGAACCTCAGGTGAGAATTTGTAGTTGGTTTCTTTCGAGCAGTGTGGGAGAATATGCACATGGTGAACTACATGTGTTGGTAACAATATGGAAATTGTGAGAAAATTTTGGAAAGTTTTTATCGGTTTTTCTACGCTTTTACTATAATTCGTATATGAATTTGTATATTTAGTGAGGAAGCTTTCGAGGTCCGCTGAGAAAAGCGGACATTCATTTCACAACTGCTCTCGAGTGTATATCATCACATTCGGAGAGTATCAGGTTCGTAAAATAGTTTCCCAAATAAGACCGGACAGACAAACTCTGATGTGGTCGGCGACTTGGCCTAAAGATGTGCAGCAGCTCGCCAGGGATTTGTGCAATGAGGAACCAGTGCATGTCACTGTGGGTCAATCTGGACATGCTTGCCACAAGTAGGTGTTGAGTATTTCACGTTGGCTATCTTTCTCTCTCAGTATTCAACAGTTCGTTGAGGTCGTTGAGGAGAACGTCAAATCAGAACGTTTACAAGCACTAATGCGAGCAGTTGCCTCTGCCAGTGGGGGAGTTTTCGACGCCAAGGCCCTCATTTTCACTGACACGAAGCGGTGCGCTGATGATATTACTAGAGTGCTCCGTCGTGACGGCTGGCCTGCCCTGTCAATTCATGGTGATAAGAAGCAGTCTGAACGCGATTGGGTACTCGCGGAGTTCAAGAGCGGTAGAATGCCTATTATGATCGCCACCGATGTGGCTAGTCGTGGCCTTGATGTCAAGGACGTTAAGTATGTGATAAACTATGATTTTCCCGGTACGGTAGAGGACTATGTTCATCGAATTGGCCGTGAGTATAGGCTTACTGCTATGTGTTGTTGTTCTATGGTGCGGATGGTAGGTACTGGCCGAGCTGGTGCGCATGGTACTGCTTATAGTTTTTTCACCGCCGACAAGGCGAAACTTGCCAAGCCTCTGATTGGTATTTTGAGGGAGGCGTCTCAACCCGTGCCCGAAGCCCTCGAACGTCTAGCTTTCGCGAGCAATGGTATGAATGATAATGGAGGAAAAGGAAAGGGTCGTTACGGCAAAGGGAAGGGATATGGAGGCTATGGAAAAGGGAAAGGAAAAGGAGGAGGAAAGGGCCCTGTAGGAAGTGGAGCGAATGCGGTAGGATTTGGTCGGGTGGACGGCGAAGCCCATACCCATTAGGTCGCTAGTAGTGGTAGTAGTGGTAGCAGGAGTAGTACTAGTAGTAGCCCTTGAAATGAGATAATATACATCGCAAATGTGAATTTGAGCGTATTTTTGAAATCCATATGCTGAAAGTGTTTCCTTAGATGCCTGTGGGAGGAATGAAAGGCAAAGGTGGTCCTCCTAGCAAAGGCTTCCGTAGTGGCTTCAAAGGCGGAATGTAAATGATAGTACAAATAAGATGATGTTTCTCTCGGTATGTTGTAATGTGTGATGAGGTTCTATCCTTACTGTCTACCCCTCGCTGGCTTGTCACACTAAGCTTTGACGGTGTAGTGCCAGCCTTGCCCGATGTCGTATCTGTTGTCTCCCGTACAAGTCTGGGAACATACATGATTAACGCTTTTCAGAGAGGATAGTTGTGGGTATTATAGGCTACTGCATGGGTAGGAATATAATCCCTTGTCACGCCTCGATGTATTCCTGTTGTAAACATCATTTGTACTACTGCATACGACTGCCCCTCAGTGGGCATGCTTTAAAGTTGTTCCTCGTTCTCATAGTATTAAACCATTTTTTGGAAATAACTGTCCTGGCAGTCATTTCCTGTGTGCACCATTCAGGCTGGGAGGACATTTATGTTCGTCCCTATGCTAGTTTGGTCGCGCTTACTCTTTCGAGGATAAGGGCATGTTCCGGTATGGGGCGGTGGTTGGCGACATTTTTATGACTGCTGCACTAGCTGTCATTTTCATCGATAACTGTTATTTGAAATAGATCACGATTTTTCCCACCTAACAGGAAGCAGTTTTCGAGTTAAATTTCGGTGGTCCCATGGTCCTTACAGTTGGCAACCTTTTTACCCACTGATAAATGTTCGAGGTTAAACTGAGAAGCGAGTCCAAGGCTGATGACAGCGTGTATACTGCAAACCCCGGTGCTGTGGGATATCTCCTCGCTGCAGCACATGATGGCGATGTGGACGAGATGCGTCGTGTCTTAGCCCAGAACTCGGGTTTGACGGTCAACAGTTGCGACTATGACAAACGTACGCCACTGCATTTGGCTGCTGCTGGAGGCCATGTGGAAGCTGTGAGGTTCCTCCTGGAGGAGGGGGCCGCCTTGACCCCGGACAGAATGGGCATGTTGGCACTACACGATGCGGTTATGAATAATAATGCGGCTGAGATCCGCTCCATGCTTGCTGAGGCTGACCTCAAATGCCCTGGTGGTGCGTGCTATCTACCTCCTGAGAAAGCCCAGATGCTCAGAAACGCTGATGTCTCTGAGGGCGCCGGCATGAGTATTACTACTGAGGAGGTCGAGACGAAGATGACACAAGTGTTCTCTATCATATCTAAGGAAGGTGTTTTTGCTCCTGCTCGCCTGTGGTTTGAGATCCAGTATTATTTCACGGACCTCGGGCTCCATCCGAAGTACTTCATGCATTGTACCAGCGCTCAGATCGCGAGACATATACATTGTCTGATGGCTGCTAAGAAGGTAGCGCAGTCCACAGGGTCTTCAAGCATCCACTTCGAGATCGAGGATGAGCAGTCTGGCTTCTTCCTAACGTCAATGGATGACAACCAGGTCACCCCCACTGAGAGGTTATTGGCGGACTACCTCGCAAACTGCGGCAGTGGTGAATCTTTTTCCGTCATTTTCATCAAGTCCGAGAAGCCTCCCGTTGTTGATGGGAACGCACCCTTGGGAGTGTTCATGGTGGATAAGACTAGGTTTGACACTCACGTTGGTGTTGGTGACGTCGCTGAAGAAGAAGATCTACAACTCGTGGCATCGCCTTTCTTCCTACAGCGCAAATCGCTGGACTCCCAAAAGTTGTACCAAAACTTGGTGCACGAAATCATGAAGACCAGAAACGCTGTGGTTAAGCTCATCGAAGCTCCTGCTCATATGGTCCGCCAGAAGGGTAGTCACGTGTTACAGTTCGCCTTGTACGACGTTGAAAGAAAGGGCAAGGTTTTTTTCGCCGAGTTCAGCGAGTGTTTGCGCGCTCACGGAGTGGTCCCACAGCGTATGTACATCGAGTCATTTGCTAATGGTGTGGTAGCTTATCATTGCTACTTGGGAGCTGAGTACAGCCCTGAGAAGCTCCAAGATCTGGTCAAGACCCTCCGTTATGTTAGTCACTTCAAACATAGTCCCAAGCGTTCAGCTCTCGTCTGGGACCTCGTTCTGAAGAAGCAAATAACACCAGCGCAAGCGGTGTTCTTCATCACTGCGGTGAAGTTCGTTTTTACCTTTTTCCCTAAGGAGACGGCCGAGTACTTGACGTTAGCGGAGTTTACTAAGGCCAATGCTGAGATGAAGCGCAAACTCGACGATCTTTTCCTGCAAACCATGTCCAACGCTATTACGTTCGAGAGGATCTATGACACACTGGTGTCCCATTATGAGCTGGCGTGTCTCATGTACGACGATTTCAAGAAGGTCGCTAAGGGTGAATGCGAGCCCTTCTATAACGCTGCTCTTGCTGATAGGATCGATGACGAAGTGGCGCATAGGTTGGAGGCTAAGATCCTCAAGACCGCACTGAAGCTCACTGCCCATCTGCGTATGACGAATTTTTTCAAGTCCGGAACGGCTGCAGCAATTGCTATGAGGTTCGACGGTAGCCTGCTGGAAGATCGGCCGCGGTCTCTATTTCCGGTGATCCCCTATGGTATCTATATGGTTACTGGCCGTGGATTCTATGGGTTCCATATCAGATTCCGCGACATTGCTCGTGGTGGAATACGTATGATACGTTCGGCTAGCACGCAGGTGTATAGCACGAACGCCTCGTCGCTGCTGGAAGAGAACTACAACTTGGCTTTCACTCAGCACCTCAAGAACAAGACATTCCCGGAGGGCGGGTCCAAGGGTACGATCCTCCTCGATCTGGGCGACCAGAATCTCGAGACTAACGGTCGTGACTCCTTCAATAAGTACATCGATGCTCTGCTGGATTGCATGATGCCTCAGCAGACTGGTATCTTCTCGCATCTGCCCACTCCTGAGATCTTGTTCTTTGGTCCGGATGAGAATACTGCTGGATTCATGGACATGGGTGCATATAGGGCTAAGGCCAGAGGCTACCTTTATTGGAAGGCTCTCACCACAGGCAAGTCGACTAAGCTCGGTGGAGTCCCTCATGACCGTTACGGTATGACCACCAACAGCGTCCATCAGTATGTTATCGACCTACTACAGCTGCTCGGGGTGGACGAGACCAAGATCACCAAGGTCCAAACTGGAGGACCAGATGGAGATTTGGGGTCTAACGAGATTCTCATTGCTAAGGACAAGACCGTCGCTGTGGTGGATGGTTCCGGGGTTGCCTATGATCCCAACGGCCTGAACCGCGAGGAGCTGGTGCGCTTAGCTCGCCTTCGCATACCGATCAGCAACTTCAACAAGGACAAGCTGACTGATGACAAGAATGCGTTCTTATATAATATCTCCGATAAGAACATCGACTTGCCCAATGGAGAGCACTTCAAGACAGGCGTGGAGCTCCGCAATGTCTTCCCTCAACTCGAGTATTGCTCTGGAGATCTCTTCGTTCCGTGTGGTGGACGCCCCGCAACTGTGAATATGGGTAATATTCACACTATGTTCAACTCTCAGAAGGAGCCCAAGTTCAAGTACATTGTTGAGGGTGCCAACCTGTTTTTCACAGAGGATGCTCGTCGGGTGCTGGAGAAGGCCGGAGTTCATCTATTTAAGGACGCCTCGACTAACAAGGGCGGAGTAACCTCAAGCAGTATGGAAGTTTTCGCCGCGCTGTGTATGGATCCTAAGGAGCACGATCAGTTGCTTACTATCCCCGACGTTACTCTCCCACCACCTGAGTTCTATCAGCAATATGTTAACGAGATCTTGGCCGTTATTAAGCATAACGCTTCGATGGAGTTCAGCGCTATATGGAAGGCTAATCACGAGACTTTGGCTGCCGATGGCAACGGATATGTTCTGAAGATAGACGCCACTCAACTACTCTCTAAGAAGATCAACACTCTGAAGGAGTATACCATGAAGGTCTTCAGCGAGAAGAATCCAGAGAACGAATGGTTGGTTCGTGCTGTTCTTCGCCGAGCCATCCCTCGTCTGTTGTTGGTCCACTGCGGTATTGACAAGATCTTGGAAAGGGTTCCCGAGGCCTACATTCTGGCTGTCTGTGCTACCTGGATAGCGAACACGTTCGTCTACAAGTATGGTCTGGAGGCTAGCGAGTTCGCGTTCTATCAGTTTATGCGTAATCTCGAGGAGCATGCGCAAGGAGAGACTACTCCTACTACTATGGAGTTAAGGAAGAGTGTTCCCTCAATGGGCCTCTTGTGATCGTTTCGGTTGGTAGAGTTGGCAGATCGCAATATATTTTATAATAGTTCTCTTTTTCATCGGAAGTCTGCTTCGCTCAACTTTGGAACAATTATAGCTGATTTTGATATGGATGTTTGTATAACGATGGATAATCATATCTCAAAAGTGTCGAGCTTGCGTTATCTGAGTGTCATTGTTATGCGGGGTGGATGAGTGCATTGTGAGGAGTCCTTTTCGGCGCCTCATGTGAGTGACCTTGAGAGTCCCTCGATGTTATCCTCGTGAGTGTTCCCTCAAGTTATGGTCATGTCGTTAGCGGCATCACTAGACCCTAATCCAGTAGCAGCAAGAATAGCTCAGCAAATGCACGAGATGCTTCAGCTCCTTATGAACGCCTTGTTCGAAGCTCGAGTGCTTCCTAGGTCTGAAGAAGGTACATATCAAGACTTGCATGCACTGTAAGGACAACAACGTCAGACTAGTTGTGGTCTCCACGCTGTTGGTCAGTTACAGCGAGTTGAGCTGTTATGTGAAGACAGCCGAAGGGAGGAAGAATATCATTACTAGAAGCCAACCTTTATTAATTCTCTCGACACCATTGCTCACTGCTCTTGATGCAGGCACTCTTCGAAGGTACAGAGCTTCTAAACACAACTGTTCGCCTATGCATACGTGGAGGGTTGAGAATCAGTGATCTCATATCAGTTACAAAGCTTTCCTCAAAGACTTTCTGGTTCCGGGGTTCATCGCTCCGTCTCTAGAGTTGAACTTGTGCGAGGCGAACATGGAATGGGAGTTCGAATGGACTCCAGTGGCGGAGCGTTTGCTCGCAGTAGCCCTGTACACCTTTGGTCATCATGCTCGGTCAGCGGAGGAAATTTTCAAAGTACTGCTTACCTTGGCTTACCAATGTGCCATGGTTTGATGTTAATAACAAAATTATGTGTTCTTTTTCGCTAGGTGTACCTCACAAGTCTTGTCCCCTCCCCTTCAACCGTACAGGGTAAACTTAGAAGAGAGTTGATGGGCACTGGTCGTACGTCGGCTCCTATCAAGAAGTGGCACCAAGACCAGATGGCGCCTTGGAAGCTCGAGGAAGATATAGCACTCCAACTCGGCGTGGCCAAGTACGGGTCGTACACCACCTTGGCCTGGCACCACATAGTCACGACAACTGATTTGTTGAGTCGGCGCGATCCAGTTAGCTGTTGTTATCGATGGTTTGGAGTTATTCTGCCGAAGTATTCCGGCAAACGCCAAAGTGCTTTGCTGAGATACAAGTCTTATCTACTTGGTGAATTAAGAATCGGTCGGCCTCGAGGTCCTCAAGCTGCGCCGAAGAGGAAACGATCGGAAATGGCTAGCCTCGCTGATGGTGAGGTCTCTGATAGCGATTACGAATCGACCACCTTGAGTACTGATAGTTGAGCATGACTTATATTTGGTCGATGCGCGTTGAGTTTGATTCATCCAGTGATATGTACTTGAAGGTCTCTAGTGGTACTGAGCTCATCGGCTCCTGTATTGATGGCGACCGTGCCAGTGGTTGGCCTCTGCTGAAGCACCCAACGCGTAGTATACGTACCACCACCGTGGTGGAATCACTAACGATTTGATTGTAACCAATCAACCATCAATGATATTGTTGGTAGCTTAATCGTAGCTAGAATGAATGTCAAGCCGCTCAGGCTAGTCCAATCTGCTTCATAACCCCCACAGACTCTGACGGTCAGATGAAGCTCCGAGCCTCAGAATTGAAACACATATCTCCATGTAGACTTAGAGACGTAGACCGCGGGAGCCTTCTCCCAGCGTCGGTAACGTGCATGCGAGGCTGCCTTGATGAGCTCGCCAAGATTCATGTTGTTGTTACAGCTTCGATCATCGTATCGCGGTGATGATAGTTTTGGGGCGAGCGAGAAGAATACCTGGGTGAGCGAGTTTGTACTCACGTATCAAGGAACGCGCACAAGACTCTTGCATGGCTCCAATCTGTATAACTTTCCGATAGCTTATTTTTACTACTTCCCTCAATGAATCATACCTGTGCTGTTCTCTCTGTGGCGGCATCTCTTCTTGGGTCTCTTCTCTTCGGACTATGTTTGGGGTTCTCCGGTCCCGCCATTGACACTATGAAGAACGATGTTACTACCCCGGATGGAACACTTATCGAAATTGGCGAAGGATCGTCATTTTTCGTATTCCGCACCGCCACCGAAGCCTCTCTGTTTGGTTCAATGCTCAACATCGGTGCCATGGTGGGAGCACTGGGTGGAGGGCCTCTGAATGAGAAGATCGGTCGCAGGTGGAGTCTCATTGGAGTGTCTCCTCTCTTCGCGTTGCCTTGGCTTTGGGTTGCTCTGGCCACAACGGCTTGGCAACTGATTGTCGCCCGTGTCATTATGGGCATCGCGCTCGGCATGAGCTCCTTCACCGTGCCCACTTACATTGGGGAAGTCTCTCCTACTAAGTATCGTGGATTGCTGGGAGCATGCAATCAAGTGGCCATTACCGTTGGTATTCTCCTGGCGTATGTCCTGGGATTGGCACTACGAACTAAAGCAGGATCAGTCGATCCCAACGCCACTGCGACTACCTTCTGCGAATGGCGTCAGCTGAGTTTCATATACATCATCCCCTCCGCACTTCTAGGCATAGCAATGTTCTTTGCACCAGAGTCTCCACGGTGGCTCGCTTCAAAGTGCAGAGACACAGAAGCGAAGGCAGTGCTTATAAAGCTGCGTGGAGCTGACGAGAATGACCCACACGTTAAGGCTGAACTGGCCGCCTTGGACGCCCTACACACGAAGAGATATGTTCAAGGAAAGGACTCCATTAAGCAAAACTTGAGGGCTCTTAGTGAGTGTAAAATGCAACTCTTCATTGGAGTCATGCTACAAGTCTTGCAGCAGTTCGCAGGTGTGAATGGTATCATTTTCTATCAGACTTCTATTTTCCAAGCTGCAGGAATCGACAACAGAGATGTGGTATCGTTGTCGGTCATGGCTGTGCAGGTCGGTGTGACGCTAATTGGTGCTCTCATTATCGAAAAAGCGGGTCGACGATTACTCCTTATTTCGGCTGCCTCGGGTATGTGTATCAGTGCAATTCTGGAAGGTCTATTTTTCTACTTGAGAGACTCAGTTGGCAATCAAAACGTTGGATGGTTGGCAATCGTTGCGGCGTTCGGCTACATCGCGACATTCTCTCTTGGTGTCGGCGGTATACCGTGGTTAATTCTCGCGGAGCTCTTCCCTGATGAAGTCAGAGGAGTAGCTTCTTCAATCGCCACCGTGATCAACTGGCTTTGTAGCTTCCTAGTCACTGAACTCATGGAATCGATGACTAGGACTCTTACTTTCTATGGAACATTCTGGTTCTTCGCTGGAGTATCTCTCATGTTGGCCTTGTTCGTGGTATTCTTGGTGCCTGAAACTAAAGGAAGGACCTTCGAGGAGATTCAGGCATACTTTCAGCGTAGGTATCATTTCGATCACGGTAGTCACTCTTCAGCCTAGGCTTCTTGCCGAACGCTTTCCATGGAACTTATTGCAGAAATGATCGGGTATTCAGTCCTTTTTTTCCGGAAAACTAGAGACTCATTGTCTCCATGTTAGTCATGAATTGTTCTTTGAGAACATTCATAGTATTAAGAGAGGTCAGCAAAGTCACAGATAGAGCTATAGTATTGTCGTCATAATTTTCCATCTTAGCTTGAGCTCATGTTTCTTACTGTTGACTCGACGGTATTTAGTACCAGTATCATTTTGAAGCGAACGAATCCCGACAATCTACTTGATATATCCCCTGAGTGGGCCTACTAGCTACCTCAGATGAAGCTCTGTTACCATATAAGACTTCGCTTTGACTTCGTTTGCTCTCTGGGTGCCAGGATAGCTCTTTTTGAATACGCTAGAGTCTTCGTGTTGCGCTGACCAATAGTAGGATTTGGTTCATCGAATGAATTTCGCGTTGATGTGTGTGTCTTCTGTTTGTAGGCCGCAGTGATTCGAATAGTTTACGGGAGAGATTACTCGCATAAAGATTTCGTGGTTATTCCGCCTCCGCATCGAAATAGCGAATTGGGATGCAAGTTTTCGTATATCCGAGTATTCCAATGCTGTGCTCGAAAAGCCTCGTTCTATCACCACTTACTGTCGAAGCCTGGACTGTGTACGGATGGCTCGTTCACAGTCGTCGCACATTCGCTGCTTTGCGAAAATATGTTCTCTGCAGTGCGAGTAGGTTTTCCAATTTTCCTAAATAACATCGTCTGTGTGATGCAAGGATCGTCTGATCTAACTACTGCTATCTATTCTATATCTGCTCTAAGTTCAGTTTTCACTGTCGCGGGCTCCGAGTTATCCGCCACGTTAATCACCTTATGACTAGTGCGACCACTTTAGTCACTCAGGCCTCCAGTGAGGTTTTGTGGTTCCGAATAGATCGAGTCAGCGTCTCAAGGGAACGTTCTTTCAATTGATTGATACACTTTGTGTGTCGAGTGGAAATCCAAGGATAGACTGATCGCCTCGGAGGTCGCGGGCGAAAGCCAGGGATAACTCGTGGATTAACGTTCGTTCAAGTCGAACGGACTATCACAGTCTACAGTTCCCGAAAATCTTGACGACTGATAAACCTCGGAATCTCTCCAGCTGCCACATTCTCACCAGCAATGAGACCCCACGCCATCTGGAGGGATCAGATCCCCAACAGAGAGAAATACGGCAATGTTGTCTGGTCTATAGCATACAGGCCTGATGGACAGCAGGTAATAGAACAGAGCATTGACCATCCGAGCTGAGCGATCGCTGGAGCTCTTTCAGTTGGTGGTAGCTGTGGGCAACCGAGTGCTTCTCTACGACGCCAACGATGGCGATCTGGTCCACAGTTTGAAAGGTCATCGAGATAGTGTGTACTGCGTAACTTACTCGAAACAAGGGAAGTAGGGCCGGGGAGCATTCGTGCGTGTGCGGTACTCGTGCTAATGATTATCAGGAGGTTCGCATCCGGTGGAGCCGACCATCAAGTCATCATCTGGACTAGCAAAGGCGAGGGAATTTTAAAGTAGCACTCAGGTGGTTCGCCGATTCTTATATAGTTGAGGACGGATGCTGCCTCCTGCCGAAGGTGCTTAGATTGACTCAAATCATCGATGAGTATATTTGACTTGATGCCATCGCTTGATTCGGTTTGGCAGATATAGTCATAGCGACTCGATCCAATTCCTGGCCTACAACCCCGTGACACAGCAGCTAGCGAGCGGAACTCACAAATGATATAGGACTTTGGAGTCCTGAACAAAAGAGTGTTCAGAAACATAAGGTTGACCAGACTCCCATTCCGTACTGAATTCACTCCTGCTAGGTGCCTGCTAGAGTTCTCTGCATATCGTGGACAACGGATGGACTGCATTTGGCGCTCGGCTTGTTCAATGGGCACGTATCCATTCGCGACAAGTCAATACCTCCAACTAGGCTCCCATGCAATATCGTCCATAGACAGGTTTTGCGCGGAGAAGAGCAAAATAATTAGATCTGAACCCGTATGGTGCTTAGCGTGGAACCCCAGTCCCTCGAGATCTGAATCCACCGAAGTACGTAAATGCGTAAATGCTATTATGGTGACACTGCAGCATCACAGATCCTCACGGTCGGCTGCTGGGACCAGACGTTATCCTTTTATAAGCTTTCTGGTCAAGAAGCTGGACCACAACATAAGCTAGGCTACGACCCTTGCTCGATCTCCTTCTTCTCATCTGGAGAGTAGCCCAGTTCGCCATACTCGAATTAGTCGTAGGTGAATCGTACAGATACTTCGCTCTGGGCGGCTTTGATGGGCGCGTCCAGCTATGGACCAGAGATGGGATTTTACTCGAAGACATCGTTCAAATGGACAGCCCTGTCTGGAGCTTAGCCGTGATTCTCCCTTGAAAAATTGTACCCTAAAGACCATCACGCGGTGACAGGTTAGACCTATGGGTCCACCGAGCATCACGATCGGCACAGAAAATGGCGATGTGGCTGCTTATCAATTGATCTTCTCCACGGTGCGTCAAATTTTTCGTCACTAGAAGTAGATTCACATGTCCTAGGTCCATGGACTTCACAAAGATCGTTACGCTTACCGAGATAAAATGACCGACGTTGTCTTGCAACACTTAGTGTCTGATGAGAAAGTGAGATTTTTACTATCATAGTTGTCCAACCTAGTTTCCCCGGAAATAACACTGCTCGCCATCTCTTATCGTCATCACAGGTTCGTATCCGGTGTAAAGATCATGTGAAGAAGATAGCCGTTTACCGTAATCGACTAGTTGTTCAACTCCCTCAAAAGGTGCCGTTTGCTATTGACCGATCAATCTGTTGAGATTTCTCTAGAGTAAAAGAAAGCACAGTATTCACTAAGGCAGTGGAGTGTGTACCACTAAGTAATGCTCGCTGAGTTTGACTCAAAGAAAGGTCACGACAGAGCTCCTGATAGGCTGTATTCTAGTAGGTATTAGTATATGAAGTACCCGGTGACGACCCGCTTGATATGCGATACCAGCCAGTGGACAAGGTCCGTATCACCTTGGACTGCTCGTTGCTGGTGGCCACTGCCCAGCATTTCATCCTTTGTCACGAGAAACAACTACAACTGTGAGGCGAAGACCTCAGCTCGCTGTGTTGTAGATCGTAGACGTCAGATATTCGAGTGCTGGTGTTATGGAACGCGAATGGCGTCTAGATAGTCTCATACGATACATCAAGGTCTTCGGAGGAGTGCCTGGGAGTGAGGGCATCCTGGCAGGACTCAAGAACGGTCATGTAAATCTCTTCAAGCAAGGCATTCTTCTCCATCATGTGATGCCGTGTTAGATTGTCAAGATCTTCATCAACAGCGCCTTTCCGATAACGGTTATAAAGCAGACGAGTCCCGTGAGGTGCCTCGACTTCTCATGTGAGGAAAACAAGTTGGTCCACTGAACTCAATCTCAACGATAGGCGATCGGAAAAAGCTCGCTATCGTTAATGAGAGCGCTACGTTAATGGTCTACGACTTGGAAACACAGAAGCTGTTGTAAACTCATCAGCGATGATTCATGTGATTGGAGAGGAGTAGATACCAGGAAGCAGGAGCCAGCTCGGTAGCATGGAACCAGGAGTTCCCCGATATGGTCGCATACTCCGGAAACGACACGCTCTGCATCAAGACTGGCAGCTTTCCTCCTCACCCTCAGAAGCTGCATGGATTTGTACTCTTTCCTAAGCCTTCTTCGACGACCACCACAGCTGCTATCTCAGGTTGTCGGTTTCAAAGGCAGTAAAATTTTCTGTCTAAAATCCGCATCCATGGAAACTGTCGAGATCCCTCAGGGGCCCTCGCTTTACAGGCAACCCGAACACTAGATTCTGTTCGCATGCACTTGGAAGGTATTTATCCGTTGGTAACTTTTCCGCGGCATACGAAGTTGCCTGTCTCGGTGTGACCGACGGTGACTGGCGACAGCTGGCTTTGTACGCTCTCAAGGAAATGGTCTTCGATGTGGCCCGCAGAGCTTTCATTAGAATACGCGATGTATGGTATCGACTATAGCATCACATGTTCACGAGACTCCTCGAGATACGCTATATTGATTTGCTTCATAGACTACTATTACAGTTGACGACTCGTAATGGGATCTCGGTGTCGGACACGAGATTCCTATACATGCCAATGTGGGTGCTTTCTTCAAGCTAGGCGTGTCAACTTGGAATGTATACGGTAGGTACTTAGAGGAGTTCTCCAAGAGGAATTGGAGCAAGGAAGATCGTGCTTTGGTGGCGGCCTATGTTCTGGCCTATGAAGGCCGCTTCCATGAAGTAGATGTGGTAGAATCTACAACGACCCTATGCTGCTGGTCCTCAGGCTGCTGTACACTTTGGTCAAGCGAAGGAATACGGTCTGGCAACGGAAATGTTCACTGATCTCAGGAGGTGGGATGATGCCAAGAAATGGGCTGATATTCACGAGAAGGCTGTCCAGAATGGCGAGGTGATCATACCCGCCGCTACTTCGGCTGAGCTGCTGCTGTTGCTGCTCGTATTGATCTACAGATTGACATACCAAGCAAAGAGCAGCTATCAGCCTCTGAGAACAAGGAAGACAACGCCAACTTGGTTCCAGATGGAAACACTCCTGGACAAATTCCCAAGCGAGTGAGGTGAACTAGTATGCGGTATTGCTACGCTATGCTCGCTAGGGGCCTTCTACTACAACGGGTTTGATGCTAAAGCAAGCTGAGTCAAGTGAAGAAGATGGTGATTTACGTGCTGCGGCCGATATGTAGTCCTGTCAGTGTCTCAGTAGCGTGAACAAGGTGAGAACAGGTACCTCCAAGTTGGGCAGAAGGAGCGTGCGGCGGCCCTCTACACTCAAATAGGGGCTCTCGAGCCCCTCATTGAGATTGTCCGTTCCTGTGACCGACAGAATGACCAAGACGAGGGGATCATGCTGGACGCTGCGGCCTGCTTCGTGAGGAATAACATCAATGTTTATGGCTGTCACTGCCGCCCAGATAAAACATGATCATTACATGTTTGCGAAGGAAGCACTAACGAGAGCGGAAGACTTTGAGAACCTCATTAGTCTGCATGTGAAGAAGAGCAGGTTGCCCGACAAGCCTATGAAAGCGGTAGCTGACGTAGCTCGACAGGTGGGAGGAAGCGTTCCAGCTGGCTCGATCACATCCCGAGCTGGCCGAAGAGATCTACCTACCTTGGGGCAACTGGTTGATCAGCAACGACAGGTCGTTTTGTTATCTAAGCCTTCGTCCGGAACGCATTGCAGATACGAAGAAGCCTATGAAGCATTTGAGAAGGCTGGTCGCTCTGACCTAAGTTCTGACATGCTGCGTCAGCTGACCAACCTCTCGGCTGAGCAAAAGCTCTTCAAGCAAGCTGGCATGTACAGTTAATCGAAAACGTCGACGAAAGGCTACTTCTGACATCTCAAGATACGCATGGAAAAGAGCTAAGAATGCCGCATTGAGGGAAGAGGAAGATGAGAGCATCCGCTTGAGGCTGCAATCTGATGTGTACGCAGTAGCCGCCACGTGGAGCAATGAACTGTATCGATGCTCAGCTACTTGGCTTATTCCGATGTGGTTTCCCACATAGAAGGGCCTCTCGCATCATCCCCGTTGGAGCAGATCCTTCATGCATGTGTGTTTGTGGAGAACATGGCCAGTCAACTCGGCGAGCTTCCACTCGGCGTGAAACGCTCGAACGTGTAAGGGAACTTCAGAATTGATCGCTGTCGAACGGAGCGCGGCTTTCAAGGTTGTTCGTTTTGGCCGACACTGCAATACGATTACAATGTTTCAAGCTAGCCCGTAGGCTGTCCAATTTCGAACGCTATGAATCATCTATCAGGAGCCGCCCACGATCGCTTGGGGTACGTGAAACTCCCACGGCAATTGTATGCGAAGGCGCAATATTCAGTAATCAACAATGTACATCTCGGGACCAGCGCGATGATCACAATCAGACCCTGAAAGCCAGATCAGCCGCACTGGTCGACAGCGATGACGTTTCGCATGTCTGCGGTCGCTGTGGCTCGACGCTCGCGTACTTGATTTCATTCGAGGGTATCATATGCGAACATATCGATGTCCCTATTTCGAATTCGTTTAGGTTCTTCGTCCCCAGAAGCTATCGAGCCCGAGCACTGCACTGAATGCCTGCATCCAGTGGTAAGTCGGAATTCTAATATTTGGCAGAGTCAATCGCTAGTGCAGATACGATCCTCAATAGGCTGGGAACCTCTACCTCTGTTGGAGTTCGTGAGTTGAATTCAACTTGATAGGCGCGAATTGGAAGATCTCCATTTAGGAAGCAACCGATGAATCGCTCGACCAGGACGAGTTGATTTCGCTTGTGGAATGCGAACCTCGCTATCCAGTTGGACTACGTGATAGGAAAGAACTTCGTGGACGGGAATCGCGTAGAGCCTTGATCTTCGAGCAGAGCGTACGCTTGAGTCCAGGCGGACAAGGCGCCGACTGCCTCGTTCTTGATGATGAAGGCGGCGCTACGGCTGCCAGCTCGCTCTACGATGTGGACTCAGAGCTCCTCAGAACCATTGTAAGAGATCAAGACACTTTGTTGCCGTGATTATGTCGAAGGTGACTAGCGCTCGGAATCTGGTTCCGGGGGAGCCCTACAAGCGCACACGTTTACCAACAGAGATATTGTGTGAGTTACGGCCTGAGGAAGTACTCGTTATCGATCAAGGCTGCAAAGTAGCAGGAACTAGGTGAGACGTTACTGTTGTTGGCGCGGCTGTGCATCTTTCATAGTATTCGAATGAATGATAGATTTTACAAGAACATGATGCCTGATCTCCCAGTGACAGCATGCTGTAACTGTGGGCGGCTTTTCAAGTTGGAACTCCTAGAGGAGGCAGGCTACACGGGAAGGAATGGCTGTCCATGTTGCAGTGAGTGAACCGTAACGAGATGAACTAAGTGTCTGGTCGCAGGCGTCGGCCCTGGGGATATGTCTCTCAGTAGACCATGATTCATGCTGCATGAGAGGTGTGAATGATTTCTGTTTCCGTTCGTGGCTTCGAGTTGACTCATCGTAGACAATTCAACGACATGAAGCAAGATTGACGGAATTTGATTTTTAGAATATGAAACCTCTGAATCAAATTCAGTGTCAGTCGACGCGTCGAGCTGATCTATGGCAAGACTTGTAGGCGGCCTTCGAGATCAGATGCGTTGAGGGTACAACGTTTAAACTCTGAACTCTCACGCACAGCTCGTGTGAGTACTCGAAATACTACAATCGATAATTCAAGATGCATTCTCCTCCTGTTGGACTATCGATTTCCCACCAATTTATCGACTTTACTACACAACTCAATGTAGAGATCTTTTTGGAGAGTCATCAGTTACATCGAGTCATTTATCATGCTAGTTGAAGGGATATGCTGAATTCTGCACCGAAGGGAAGTTGACACATGAATCATTTGAGCTTGTCTAGCCCAGCGATCCTATGTTGTCTGGAATCTTCTTCAACCAACGGTGCAGGTTCTCAAAAGCGGGGTTAAATTCCCCACCAGATTCACATAAAACTGATTTCAAATGGAAGTACTTCGCGCAGTAAGCACTGTACCTGAACACCTTCGTATCATCAGGAAAGTTGAAGCAATGTTACTCACCGGAGCAAAAACGCTTTGTTGAAGACAGAGAAACCGAAACGATCTATAAAAATGGATGGTGCCTATCACACAGTCAAACTGCACAGACTATCTCGCACACACCTTGGCCGAGATTGTGTGTTCCGCAGCGATGGCTCGGTCCCAGGCATCTTGGATCCTGGCTAATGAGGCAGCTTCTAAGATGAACGGGATGATTCCACCACTTTCTCTGAGGTCTATCTGTTACCTCCCTGTAGAACTTCGCATATCAGCGAGTGAAACTTTTCCATACGGTCGACGAATCTCACAGCCTCATCGGCGTCGAGAGTGACAGCCTATACGTCAATCATGAGAATCTCATGATGAGATATGAGCGCCACGCGCGCTACCTACACTCACCTCACGGAGCTCGTTTCTGCATTTGGAAAAGCCCAACACAACTTGCAACCCAACCCAGTCGGCTAGAGCCTCTTCGTAGTCGTACGGGATTTTGATACCCGACTTGCGCAGGTGGACCTTGCAATGATATTGTGTAGGACCCACTTGCCAGGATGGCTACATGTAGGGCCTCGTGAGCGACAACAAAGACGATCGCAGAGTCCTCGTATCTAACAATGAAGAGCCCCCATTTTGAGACGCTCCAAGATAGAGTAAAATGTACCGGAGAAGACGGTAGGAAATTTTTGCAGATCGACTAGCAACTGTGCGATAAAGGAGAGTATCGAACTTCCTAGCTCTCCAGTACTGCTCCGCGGCATGAGCAGCTGTTTCTGAAGGCCCGAATCCGCGATATCTGAGAGAATGACTGACGAACCACCACTCGCAAGAGTCAAGAGGACCAGTCACGACTCGAGCCGGAAGTAAACAGGGCAAAACGATTGAGACTCACGGCCTGCCAGGGGCTGCATCTTCAACGAATTCGTCAGGCGGTTCAATTCGATCCTTATAGCTGACGTAGAGGTAGATGAGAGACTGGCTAGGCTTGCCCGACCATTCACGATAGAAATTGCCAGGCAGGTCGAGACGCAGTTCTGAACCGAGATATCGGCATACCTACAGGGCAACGACCTCCAACCGAAGCGACCACTCCGCGGACTTTCTAAATATCAGAGTAGATCACGGATTCTTACAGCTCTGATTAGCTCGAGCTTTCGCTGCGTACGTTCGTCTACGGAAACACCACCAGGTCGGGTCGGAGATATGCAGCGCGCGGAAGTGAGCGACGGAGGTCTCAGTCGGGCATCTGGAAGCAGACTACTAGCTCCAGCGAGTGCCGTCGATACCTTTTCCATCGAGAGCTTCCTTCAAGCGTTTCGCTGGTCCCATGCTCGGAAGGGCCCCGCGAGTCCAATGGTAGTCTATACACGAGCATGTCGAATCGATAAATCTCTCTTTACAGCTCACCACTGCTCCTACATTTGCTGCTAGTCGATATATCTCGACTTCTACGGCTGAGCAAAGTTGAGGACATTGCTGGGAGCCTCGCCAAGCGGCGTGTTAATAGTTTTCATTGACAACAATAAATACGTACCGATTCAACAGAAACTAATGCATCTTCAAGGGGGTCAACGAAGAATACGGCAGCTGCCAACTTCTTATAAGTGAACTCGTGAGACACTCCTCTATTTGTTCTATCGAGACAAATATAGTGCGACTTCAAGTCGCAAGATTATTAATAATAATACAAGTAATACGAATATAATAATGATAATACTGGAAAAAGATCTTTCCGAAGGACCGGAGCTTATATGATACTCTGCACTCATCTAAAGGCTCAAGTGAGTAACCGGTCGTCGCCAAAGATGTTCTAATGAGTCCATCTGGGACACTGGGACACAGCAATTCTTCAGCTCATCACCCCAATCACACCGATGAGAAAGTTGAGTCGTGTTGGCAGTATCAATACTCTGACGATAACCTCTAACTCTCACAAAGAAACCCAACCGGGAGCGTAATTCGTTCGGAGTGAGAAACCACTTCATGGTGAGAGAACATGACCTAGACTTCCTCTAAACTGGACGAGTGGTACACCGAACTAATCGTGAACCTGTGCCACTGTGGAACTACTCCCCAACAGTGCGACGTCGACCCTTACAGTTCTCTAACCGTGGAGCTGTTAGGATGTGGATTCCGAACAGTGTTACACACGGTACAGCGATGACGATGATGACAACGCCCAATGAGAAACAATGAATCAATTGAACTCCAACAAGTAGTCAGGACAGCTGGCCTTCTAAAGATAACGGAAGATCGCGTCTTTCGCGCATCCCCGCGTTGCTATAGTCGAAGACATAGTCTCTCCGCTGCCCGTAATCAATCTATAGCAAACTCCACTGCTGACCGAATCGTGACGAGGCGCAGACGGCCAATATGACATTCATAAAACTGTTGATGATAGAATGAACACCCGAGCACTCCAACTCAACGCCACCGCCGCTCTCAATCGATACAAGAGTAACAATGTAAACGATAAAATTTCCTCGCGACAGAGTTCAGTTAAATTTGTACCGCGATAGCGGCTCCTGAGATGTTATCGCCCGCTGCAATCGTTGCTACAGGTTCCGTACATACAATGTTTGGACTCAGGCACATGGTAACCTTATCGGTGGATTCTTGATCGCGAGTATCATCCCAGCAAACCACCTACAGCAAGCACTTCCAGACGAGAGAAAATTCATTTACGCACCCCATTATGGTGCCTAGTTTTCAGCACATCCCTCCTCTGCGCAAGGTCTTCATCTTCACTATCGACGAACGTATCATACAACAGAACCTATGACACCGTAGTAGGTCGCCTATGCTGCACTTAATCCATCCATATTACCTTTCCCTTGTTCAGGTCTATATCATCGTCAGTGTTGAAACCACACACATGCTTGAACGCGATAAGACTCGCTTTACTCATCGCTTCTGCTCTGAAATCCACAAAATCGACAAAGTCAAAATCGACCTACGTCCTCACGTTCTGTTCCAGGCATCTGTCTTGACCAAAACAGCTTGGAAAGCTAGAGTGTGAACGTGTATACGAGAAACCTGCCTCGTGGAGTTCCTGACAGATTATCAATGCATACCGTAACGAGCTGATAAGCCTCCGAATACTACGTCTTCTCATTCACTTCCTCAATCAGTTTCCAAAGGCTTCGTAACGCATCCAAAACGTTTCGAACTTTGGGACGAGACTCCGAAGCGCGGATGAGACTCCCATCACTCGTAGACGACGACTTCCTGGGAAACCCGTAGGGCATGCAAGAACCGCAGGAAGACGCATTTACAACGTAAATTTTATATTCAAGCGTTGTGGCAAAGATTCACTCATCATCATCATCATCATCATCATCATCATCAGCAGGAGGTGTTGGGATATATGCTTGCTTCCCTCAGCTGAGCTCAGAGGTTTCCTCACTACACAAGTGTACATACGACTTGGAGTAGAAATGTACAGAAACTCCCATATTGTCACCAACACATGTAGTTGACCATATGCATATTACCCCCACACATCCTCCTTCCCCCTACCCCAGCCAGTCCGTGAATGTAGTTAGCTCCTGTTCGTTCATCCCAAGACTATCGACTCTAGTCAGCATACCGGTATCATACAACTCTCTCATGAACTGAGCTGCAAGGCACGACGAGCTGCTACTACTACGCAGACGGGCATCACTCACAATTGGCGAAACTAGCGAGTTCAACGTGGACCTTTACGGAAGGGCCCTGTGCATCAATCAGCTGTCGAGCCCGCTCAAGTCGATCTAGCCGCTCCCCTTCTGTTGGGAACGGAAACCTAAACATTCCCAGAATTCCCTCCGACGAGATGTTCATAGTGTCACCCATCCATCATTTGGAAAGCCCCCAGGACCAAGGCGTCGGGCTTAAATGCGCCCGAGCCGATTTCCTCCTGGATCTCCTCTATACCGCGCAGATACGGTGAGTGAATATCGCTATGAAGAGCTGCGCAAAATACGACCCTCGAAAAGAGGGGCTTCATCACTACCTAGACGGTTCGCCCTCGGACAGGTGTCGGAACCCCAAGTCTCATCAGAAATGCTTTCCAAAATGATGTGAATATCGTCACCGCTTCCTGCAAGGCGAATGGTTCATCACTACTTCATACAGAGCCTACCTTCCGTTGATGCTGATGCCAAACCTCCTGCTATCGGCAAGGGCACGGCAAACTGATCCCGGAGCTCTTTCGAGACATGTGCGCCCAGCAGAACATCATGACCCTGAATGAACAACGACGAGGGTAAATAACTACAATAACTATGGTGAAATGCGAGTTGCCCCCCCCCCCCCAACACAGCGCGATGTAATGAGCATAAATTACGCCACGGAAAGGTAGTGCTTTACCTCCAACTTGATCCTACACCCCATATGTGGAGCGTTGCCACCGAATCTCCAGAAAGTCCCATAATGATCACCAAAACTCCGCACTGCAGTGACCAGTTCATCAAAGAGTGTCCTGTTTGAGACGTAGCTGAGGCGGAGCGAAATCCATAAGGGAGTTATAATGAGAAATTATTACCGCTCAGCCGCAGCTCCATGTTCAAAAAAATAGTGAAAAGTCTCGGCCAAGTCCTTCCGACTGGAAATAACATCATGATCCTGGGGGTGCTCAGAAGGCTCTATGTGCAGCTGAGAAAATGCCAGAATATATGTTCGCTGAGGTCGTAGGTTTCCTCACGTAGGAGTTTACACACGAATTCGGGTAGGAGTGTACCGATACCAAAATTTCTCCAGAATTTGTCACCAACACATGTAGTTGAGCATGTGCATATTTTCCCACAATACCGTAAACTGCCGACAATAGTACCTCCCTGAGTAGATCCACTCCACGAGTAACTCCATCCAGGCATGCACCAAACCCCAGCACGACACTTTTCGGATGAGCTTCTATTCTTCGTCGGGTCGCCACCTCTTCGGATAACTGCGCCTACACAAGCGTATTCAGTTCGGTGATGCTGTCAGCCATTACTTCTAGTAGTTCACGCTTATCGATAAGCTTCCTATCCGACGGGTGTACAAACGCTGTATTACGATGAACAACATCATGACTGGTGTAATCGCCACAGAAATACCTGCCACCAACAAGAAGTGTATTCCAAGTTCCCTTTCTAGCTGTATTACACGTAAGCCACGGCTATGAAGAGAACCAGCAACGGCAAAAAAGTGTTTATGACTGTCGGTAGCATCCCACTCTGCACCATGATAAAGTGTCGAAAAACAAGTGAACTAATTTGCGAAAATCTCAAAAAAGTGACCACAACAAAGGTATGGTTATTACGTTCACCCTTACCTTACCTAAGTGGACAGAATGCTAACAAAAAACCACATCTTTACACCCACCCAACTCCCAGTGGAATGCAAGCTCTATCACCTTCATAACGAAGGACTTCACTGCATGCTTCCATAATCAATGTTGGAAATTCTGCCGGGGATCAGCTATTCTCCAGTCTCCCCTTTATCTCTATTGCACTCCCTTCCATGCCGAACAGTCCCCATCATCACAACACACCGACTGACATTGTCGGCTATTCATACACCATGAAGACCAAACTTCTGCAGGGTGAAAGTCCCACACATTTAACCCGCGGCTCGAACGCAACTCCCAGTGTGGTCAGGTACACATCAACACATCGAATTGACAAAACTAAGGGGTTGAATATGTTGTTCATCATGATGAGCTCATCATGCTCATAAGGTCCTAAGAATACGAAGAGAAAAACTTGATAATAATGGTATTCGCGAATGATGATCACCTGAGCGCTGATAAGACCCGCCTCAAACGACGCTTGGTAGATCGTAGACAAATTGCGCACTTCCCATCCAGGCTGACCATTCAACACGGTGACACGCGGTGACACGAATCACGCCCTATTACTTCAGCGTTTTTCCAATCGCTCTGCCTCTCCCCTTCTGTGAGTCCCCACAGCGACCCTCCACCTTGAGCCTTACCAGAAGGAGCCTTCTGCCCCTCCTCTCGTGAGCTCTTCCTCACTCCAGTACCCCCTGAAAGAGCGACAAACTTCGTCCCTTGTCGTTGCTTTCCAGGACTTACCGTTGACAGTTTTTTCAGAATTTGCGCCCCCAACATTGTTGTTATACTTCCCGAGAATAACTAAGACAGGGAAAATCACTTTGCTGACCACAAAATGAAAACTCTCCTACATGCAGCCATCGCTATATCTGCAGGGCTCTTGGTCCTCGCAGCCTTAGCCCAGCGTTCATGGAGATCCTTACGCTCAGCTGAAGTGTACCAATCTCTCATCACAACAACAATGTAGTTGCATATCTGTTTCAAAACCTGAGCATGAACCGAATCAGATCCCGAAAAAATATCCGATATTGTTAGTTTATATATTGGAGCTCCACCCGTTTTACGTGAAGTGGCGTAATACTCTGTGAAAAACGCGATATTCGCGGCCTGTAGTAGTCGTGAAATATCTTTTTCACTAGTGTTTTTCATACCACGGTCGTGAAACTCCATTACATATATCACCCGATAGTATAGTTTGATTATTATTATTAGTACTGGATATTCATTAGCTCATTTATTCAAGGAGTCCTTTCTTACTTTAGTATGGCTAACATTATAGGGGTCGAATTCCTCGTCATTTCCAAAGCTAGTTTTCTTGCCATCAACACACACGAATTGGAGAACTGCCGTGACCGATCTCTTGTCGAACAAAGGATACGAATGAAGCACATATCTACATAAGGAGCCAGGATGCTCACACCAAGAACTGACCCAACACTATCTACCTTTTCTTTTGACTATCCCTACGTGCATAAAGATCATTATTATCAGGTGGTGACAGGTCGACCGATTCATCATAGATTCCCCTGAGCGGATCCTGAAGGCCAATAAGTCACCTCAGCATTGCCGACTAAAGCTGAGCTCCGTACATTTTTCGCTGAGGCTGACTTGAGCTCATCGCCAGCCGGGAAGGAAAACGTAAGCGGGCTCTTCGAGTTCACCTGCGAAGCGGAATATTTACAAATATCTATTATTTCTCATACCGTCTCTCCCACAATTCCTGTCATTTCACCAAGGTGTGGTTTCAAATTTTTCTCCAACTGTTTCTGATCCGGAATAACACGTGTAGGCGTCGGACTCCCATGTGTATTCTTAGGCTGAGCTCCACCATGTACCTGCCATACCGTCCTAGTCATGCTCGAGTAAAGTCCCCCTCACAATTTGCGCAGTCATGTCACCGACAACGATGTGAAGAGCGACCTTCTTTGCTTGGAACAACTCGTTCATATACCTACGAAAACAAACCAAATATTATAGCTGAATAAATCCGACTATAAAAATTTAATAGTAATTGCATATTCGACCATTGAGTTCACAAAGAGCCTGTATTACAATGTTAACAGCCCCAGCAACGTATTCGGGTCTGCACAGTACTGCATGATCTCAGTAGCGAATTGCAGCAGATAACTCTGACCTGCATACCATAACAATCGCTAATCGGGCAGATTCACTTCCAGGACTCACGCTTCATCGAGAATCCACTTACGGCCGACTTCTCGAATATCATGATCATCTCGAGCCCGAGGACCTGAGCTGCTCGTCATCATCTAGCCAACATCGGTAATGCTACCGCGATGTTCTTCAAAAGGGCTTCATCGTCCTGGTCGAAGACTGGTTCACGACGTTTGTTTACTACTTGAACCTTGGTATCGATCACATTGGCACTAATATAGCTCTTGTGATGAGCTTACAACGCACGTAACTCTGCCTCCACTCACGACCGGTATGCACAACACTGAACTTGTGCGATAGTTAGTGACGCGATCAAAACTGCATCACAATAATACAGCGGAGCGATGCACTTTCACCTTCCTTTCTACCTGCTATTGAATCGCTTGTCCTCATATGCATTGTATATACTTATGGGTTGCTTCAGAAGGTAAGCGCTCGCCACCAGACCAATATTCTCCGCATAGGGGTCAGTACCACGCTTCGGCAATTCCATCTAAGGGCATCATCTGAAGTGCCCTCGCGAGTTCGCCGATTTCCCCACCTCCAGCTTCGTGAATTCATTCCCATACGCGTTCTGCACGTACGTCCACATGACGTTCTGCCTTGCATCGACAACCCACAGGGAGCCGCGATCACAGTCGAGCGCTTCGCAGCTTATGTTCTACCATGAATAACGTCATCGCGGCGTTAGGAGGAGATGAACATGTTACAATGAGTGTTTTAATCAGATGATCCAACGCCCGAACCTCGAATAGTTCCTTTAACCGAGTGAAGGCTTTGCCAATCGCGTTTGCGTATCTTAAGGATCCCAACAGTAATAACATCACCAGTGAGTTGGCCAGAACCTCTGTTGTGCCCAGAATTCAGTGCCCAGTGCCGTGATACACTCCTGCCTGCCTTGCTCGGTTGACACACAGTCCGAATCACACAGATAAGGCAGAGTACACCTCCCACGAGTCGATGCAACCTACCGATCAATCCGTACCGATTCCTGTCTGCTCCCCCTCCTACCATCGGTGTGGAGGGAAAATATGCACACGGTCAACCACATATGTTGGTGACAATATGAGAATTCTGGGAGGAAATTTTGAGAAATTCTCACTGAGTTCTGTACATTTTTACACTCATGCGTATGTTAATGTGTATATTTAGTGAGAAAACTGTCAAGCTCAGCTGAGGGAGGCGAACATATTTTTCACCACTACCTACCATTGTCAGGAAGTCAGTTTGTTCTTGAGACAAAACCATATAACCCTTCGGAATCGGCAAGCGGTTAGCCGTGAACGTTGTGATCTGCATATAGAAAGAATCATTCACAGTGTGAATGCCCAGCTCTCATACCATTGTTGCACCGCGCTGACGATACGGCGTTATCTGAGGTAGCTTCGTCACCTTTTTACCAAAGGCCTCGCCGAGCATACTCTTCAACTGGGACGCCGTATTCACAAAACTATATCTAACGAACAGTAGTGGATCTCACAGCTCCAGCAGAGGCTCTTTGCCCACCCATTCTCCAGCGGGTTTTCGTTCATAACTTTCCACACGAGCTGAATGAGCTTCGACCGGGCATCGTCGTTCATGAGTGCTCTGTACAAAGTCTCCGTGAAGAAAGCTGGCTTATGAACTCACATCGGAGCCTTTTGATGATAGGTGATAAGTGACATAGTTTCTGCTTCCAGAACCGCACTCTTCGCCATCCACCATTTCTTCTGCCTCTCAAGTGCTGTCAGTTGTTGCATCTGTACATGGCCAATCCTGGGCCGATACACCTGCTCCTCTCTTACAGTGAGGGCGAGCTGATTAGAAAGGTAGCGGGCCCGCTTTGCATGGGCGCCTTTATCGTCTGGGACGGCGGTGTTGAGCTGGGTCTTACTCCCTTGTGCTGCTTTCCGTTCCTTGGTCGCAATAGCGATTTCACGCTGCAATGTATCGACGTTCTTGGACAACTGCTTGTACCTTGCATACCATCATAACCAGTGAATCTGCAGACTCCTGTGACAAGCCCGGCCCACTACCTGTGGGCATTCGTATTAACCCGTCGCTGTAACATTTCGCATTCCTTAGTTCTGTTATGCAGCTCTATCTTGGTCACAGTCAGCTCAGTCTCGAGGCTTTTCACCTACACAACGCTTACACTTACATAGAAGACTACGAGTAGAAACAATGCAACACGAGAGCAAGGGAGAAGTTAAATCCCAGAAATACCTGTTTCTGAAGCGCCTCGCACCTTGTCTCCGCAGATCTATGATCAACTGCGTATGCATGAGCCTGGATGGACGCTTCAAACCAACGAGTTCAGACCCGTACACTACCTTCCTGCTCAGGCGAACGATCCCCGACTCGGCATTCAGAGTATCACCGAGATCCGCCACAAGACCGTCGACTATTCGAACTGCCTCCGAAGAGTCAGTGCGTCTGGCCAGTTGGGTGAGAGCTCCTCTAACTTGGTCCCATCCTGGAGTAAGACAATAGTACACGACTGACAGAGAGAAAGTAGTGCTATTACGTCGCTTCTGCTTTTCGACAACATCCAGGCACATGTCCATGAGTTCGGTCACCTAGGCATCGCGAAATCAACGAGGCTTTCCTAGAGCTGAATATTACTCTATGGTCAAGTTTGACCTCCTCTGACGAGTTGACAGATGTTATGCCTCCATGAGCTTCGCGTATGTTCCTAAGGCGTTTGTTGTAGCCCCAACGGGCCCGCGCTGATTGACAATCAGTCCTGAAAGACACATTCTTGAGTGCGTCTCAACGCGGCAATTCTCTGCTCACTTCCAAGCAGACGAAAGGCCTCCTATGGAGTCACACGATGGCTCAGGAGCCCAAGAGTTAGAAGTAGCTAACTCGTCTCGCGGGCTCGTCGGTTCTTCAGGCGCAGCTGAACGGGTCTTTATCGTTTTGTAGGACGCACTGGGGAAGCCTTACGCTCCGCTGGATTTGCCAGAGTCGTGGCGATTCGTTTTTTCGTCTTTTTTTGCACAACTTTCGGATCGTAGATAGCAGGCAATCGAGATTCCTGTGAAAACCGCGTGGCGAATGACAACAACAATGAAATTTTCGCAACCTTTCTAATCAATTGAGAATTTTTAGCGTCAACCCTCGACAGAGCTCATGAATTCCAGTTGAAGCAGTTTTCTCTCGAGGCGACTCACCCCGCATTTCTTCCGGTGATCTTTCTCCTTCGCTGTCACTCGCATATCATGAATAGTTGACATCGTGGATATATGCGACAGCGGAATGTTAAATGTTGCGCGAACGGACCGACATTAGCGCGCGCCCAATAATATAATAACGCAATTGAACAGAGCAGAAGCCCTTGAAGAAAGAGCAGATGTGTTACTAACAAACATGAAAATTAGGCAGTCCCTTCCTCCTCAGACACCTCGGACTCGTTATATCTCTTCTTCAGAAGAAGTTCTTCTCATCACTAGGCCAAGTTGGTGATTGTTAGTGTTCTGCCAGACTGGACTGAACTCTGCTCCATCAAGGTCTCAAAGAATGAAAATCTTAGTGCCTTATGATCTCTTATATAAAGTTAAACCTCTTGAACCAAACTGTTCGTCGTAAAATTTGGGCTGTTCTGCCAAAAGCGAGATCGATAATATTAAAGGCGTCCATGATCAATAACATGTGCGCGCGTGCGACGAGCATCCCTTCCACGCATACGCTGTCTAAAGGCGCCTATTCAGAGGGTGCTCTGACAGTGATGAAGTGACAACGTTGCACTGCTCGAGCGTAGATTCGTCGGCAGACTTGACGGAACCTGTCACACTACCACTACCTGCCTCTACCTCATCGGACGCCTTGGCAGCCTCACGAATTGAGAGTTCAAGCGCAGCACGAACCTTGCGCACGAATGCGCTCAGCTTCTTCGTCAGGATTCTCCGTGGACAGGAACTGTTCACGCTCATCACTCTCGCTCCGATTCCTGAGCCACTTATCATCATCAACGTCGTTTCTACGTTTGACGTGAACCATACGAAATTTGCGTATGGTTCTTCGTGCTGGTTACAACGCATATAAGTGCTGCAAGTCCTGTTCTACCAGTGCTGCAAAAAATGTTCGCTTTCCTCAGCTGAGCTCCAAATTTTCCTCACTAATGATAGGATTTTGTATACGAATTGGGAGAATATATACGATTAGTGTACAGAAAGTAACAAGGATTTTCCAAATTTTCCTCAGAGATTCCATATTGTCACCAACACGTGTGGTTGACCAGGCGCAAATAATTACTACACTGCTGTTGTATTAACTCAAAGCTCATGTGATGAAAGGTGACTATGCATTGAAATGGCTAACTGCTATCAGCTTTCATTGTCAGAAAATGTATTGGAAGAATACATCTCTCGCGTGACCATAACTATACATAGTAGTGTTCGCAATCGACATGCTTATATATCAGTACCTAAAAATACTCGATTAGCTTGTGTACGCGTGCACGCTAATATTGCATAAAGCCTCACATCCGGTTGGGCAGCTCTCGGAAGGCGGGATAGAAGTAAGCCATGAGCATGCCAGACACGACTCCCGCTGCCATCAGCCCCATAGGGACCGCCCCGCCCAGGATCCCTGGACCGCCGCCTCCGCGCGATTTCCTCCTAAAAGGTTTCTACCATGACACATTGAGTTAGCAGCCGAGCTTTCTCACGCATAGCGCCTCCTGGGAATGACGAACTTCCGTCGGTGACTTTTCGGTAACCACTGCGATCGCTTTTCGGTTCTAAAAATAACTAACCTCACAAGATGGATCGAAGCCGTGCTCTCACGGAGAAGAAGTCTCTTCTTTGCCCTCTGGCTGAGCTCCTTCGCGAGCAAGTGGTTCCTGAGAGTAAAATTCGAAACTAAATTCGTATCAAGAGTGTTGATTCAACAACCCAACGATACGAACAGGGTTGGACTGCGAAAAATCAACTGAGCCGACGACCAATTTGGGCTATCACCACCCCCTTCAAACCCACGGCGACAACTGCCTTCCGCACCTCTTCTACGACAACACGCACTCCGCGAGATTTCGACTTATTGGAGTGGACCTAATACACAAGTCTATCGGCAATTCCGTGTCGCGAGGGTAGATAGTACCCCCGACTCCTTAGAGATCGCCTTGCGTACCTTCCTCGTATTGACCTGGAGAGCAGCATGAACGTGCTATACCCCCAGCTCATTACACTTTTTCTTTTCTTTCCTCTCGGAGTACGCGTACGCTCGATCTCCGTGACGGCGGATCCTTGGCCGACTACTGGTGGAGTACTAGGGGGCTTACAAGCACTTGGTAGCCCCTCAGTTCGGACAGCCTGCGGTCGGGCTTTAGCTTTGGGCTTGGGCTTCGATGGAGTCCTTGCTGCTCTACCGGAGCCGCTTTTTATTGATGCTTCCGGGCCGAGCTCCTCTTCTAGTGAACCAAGCTCGGAGGAGTACTTAACAGTAGTCCGGCTCTCTCTGTTCTTGGTGCCTCGTCGGGGCTTCTTGGGCGTACCTCAAGACATGCCTTGTCGACAATGAAGGCCGCGAGGACCGACTCACTCATTACGGACTCATTGTCGAACACAGACTGGCTGAGTTTCACACCGTGCAGCCTCGCCGACGACCGAACTGGAATTTCTTCTTGCAACTTTACTCTCATTAACTGTTGGAAAATAGAGTACGATACTCGTACTGTGATCGACCCGATGACACGGAGGATCACAGGAGATCCTCAAGTACGGCATGACACATTTCCCTCTAGACAACCCCATTCCAGCTTCGAAACATCTTAAAACTCAACAATGAGAGAGCGCCACCGATGCCGATTGAATCTTGACTCGAGATAGCTCAGTAAATGCACTGAGAGTATAAAGTGCTGACGCGTCTAGAGTATGATCAAATACGGGACCATTTTCGGCAATGTGGGATCCAGAGTGATCGAATATATTCCAGCAAAAAGGTGTTGGAGCAAATATCAAGATCTTTGAGAAAACGGAAGTGTGCACCCATTTCGTAACTGGACTTATCACTTCTGCCTCCACGTTAAACGAATACGTTCATGGGTAAGTGAACAGACCAAGACGAAGTGTTCTTCCCATAAGGCATGAAGAGCTTCCTTGATAGTATAATATACCTGAGCCCGGACGCGGCAGTCGCATCTACACTAGCGGCTCACGACTGGAGGCTCTCTCACGGCCTTGTTGGCGCATGCGATGGCACCACAGCGGCGCCAAGTATATCGTACATAACGGGTCCATAGAGAGAGCTTAATAGTAAGCAGTTGGAAAGAGGCACGAGAAGGCGACCGACAAGGGGGAAAGGCTGCAATCCTTAGTCATTCAATATCGGCTGGAGCCAGCTCACTTTGACACCCTCGATCGTAAGCACCTGACAGTCGAGTACATCAGAGACAAGGCATGGGTTCACAGAGTGGGCTACAGAGATTCTAGGAGTTGGTGACAAAAGGCTCTGCACCCTCCCTCGCAACACGCTGGTACCGGTGAGCTCAGATGCTCGTAACCACTCCAATAGAATAAAACACTCTGTCAACATCTCCCACATAGACGGGTCTGTACAATACCAAGTATGAGAAGTTGTCCTTAGGGCACAAGGGGCCATGTTAGCTCAAGTATCATTGACAGTCAACCGGAGCACTATCACGGCCTGGTTATCGTAATTTCCGTAAGTTCCCGAGATGACGGGTCGCCTTTCTTGATACGATGAAACAATTAAGAAAAACCTCTCCCTGTTGTTGTACATGGACGCATGCCCCCATTTTCCAACCTATATCCTTGCCCATAGCAGATAGGTTATAAATAGTTTCAGGTGATTAGTATAAAACCAAAACATCTTCCGAGAACGGTATGGTACGAGTCCTACAGGCATTCGTACCGTACGAATGCCGCGCCAGGGAAGTAACTCCCATGTATTCGAGTATCTACTACACGAACACAACGTCAAAAATGAACCTAAATGATCAGCCAGAGCAGCTCTAATGAGAAGCTCAACTGAACCCTGTGACCAATGCTTGCGACAGGGAACTATGGCGATTTAACAGACAAATTTCCATTAACACTGAGTTGAAATAACTTTACAACGCAACAATAAGTTAATTCTAGTTATATCATAGTAATCGGTCTCAGTACCACCGCTATAGTCGCCACAATCAACTCAGCCAACTATTCAACAGTTTGATCTCGTACGACGACACCAAGTAATACCGACAGAGCAATGTGGCATTCGACAAAATCAGATACAAATGTGGCAAGGATACTGAGCACCAGTGGCGAGAGGATCTGGCTTTACCAACGAGTAGTACAACAAGCATAACATTACGACCCAACAACAACAATCAAAATGTGCCTTCCAGTGTCTGTGCCGAACCCACTATAAGGGCGTCCACACTGAATGGGCTAACTCTAAATTTCTATTTTTCAGTCAGCAAAACGCTGCGACTTGAATGCGTGAATAACGTCACTCTTCGAGGAGGCCGGCATACACTTGCAGTCATCAATCGGAAAAAATACTACTACCGCTGCATTAAATCGATTACGCACAACAGAGCAAAAACGACAAGATCATACACTTAG